TTCCTATCGTCAACTCGCTCTCTATATCCCTTAATGATTGGTTTAATTTCTCGATCTCGCGTTGATTTCTCCCTTATTTTCTCGTCTCTTTTGTTTTTATTTTTCAGTTCCTTCGGCGAGAGTTTATCTCTTTCTTCTTTATTCTCTTTATCATCTTTGCTCAATTCTTTATCCAAGTCTGGATTTCTTAAAACCTGCAAAAATTAAAAATTGTACATCTATTCTATTACTCTTCTATGCTGTTATTTTAATGTATCAGATAAACATTTTGATCTAATGTTAAGAAGTTAAAAATGCCCATTTTTAATTTCTTAATATTGCTTTAATGTAAGGCATCTTATTTCATTCTTATTATTTCAATCTAATTTTCGTGTCGATGTTCACTAAACGGCTTGCTGTCCCAAAACTTAAGTAGCAAAGAAGGGATAGTCAGCATTTATCCGAAAATTAAACCGCAATATTCATCTGATCCAATCACTTTCAATACACTTATTGCCTTTTACACTTGTCATTTTGCATGTCACATTTCTTCATCATAGCGTTTGCGAGTTCGTTTTACAACGAAATATAGAGCACAATTATCAAAAATACATAAATGTTTTTTTTAAATTCTTTTCAAAAATTAGATACAGATTAAAAGAATTACAAATTAACAATGTATGGAATTACATAAAGTTTCGAAAAAATCGTAAATATAAAGTTAATTGCAATAAATGTTCCTTTCTCGAGAACCATCACCAAACCAGCTCGTCAAATGTCAGCATCGATTGTATGTTCTCACAATACAGCAGTGGATCAATTCACAAAGTTAAATCCTGAGCCCATTCTTTTTACACACCACTTGAAGTAATATACTTGAAGTAGTATACGATTCTTTCAGCGTAAATATTGTACCACAGCTTTTTCGCAGGTCAAGATCAGGAAGAAAATCGCGGCTACTAGCGTAAATGAAAAGAATCTTATATATATATTTTCTAAGGTATATTATAAAGATAATTTAAACGGAAAAAAAATATAACGAGTTCTTTCTTTCGCCAACAAAGAACTTTTTCTTACATGATCGCCTTTGTGGAAACATAAATAAGTTTTGCGATTAACTTGATTACTGCCAGTTAAATATTGTTTCTTGATTTCAAACATGCTTCTAATTGGTTTTGTCTTTCTAATGTGCTCGTAAAACCTTTCATGAGTTTTATACAGTTTTCCTTGCGTTCGTTTGTACATAAATCTATTAAGGAAAATTTCTTCTTCGTATTTATATGTATTTGCGTTTTTGATAAAGCATTGAAAAAACGCATCTTCCAATTTGACATTTGTGGGATGAGGTGTGGGAAAGTTGGGTGATTGTTCGTCTTCCGCGTTATATATATGCTGCAGATGAAAATATATGGTATCAGCAAATACAGTAAAGAATGAAAAGTACAGTATAAAACTGTCTTGACCAAATTGGATAATTAATTACAAGCAAAATAATTATTATATTATTCTGTACTGTATTTGTTGCCATTTAATACATCGATTCCATTATTTTACCTTAGAGATAACAGGATCATCTTTAGTTCTCCGTCTTTCTATATCTCTGCGTCGTCTCTCCTCACGCTTCTCATCCCTAAGACGTTGTTTCTCCTGCTTACGAAGTTTCAAGTACTCGAGCAATGGGGTTGTAGTAATTTTCTTCACTGTATCTATACAATATAATCATAATTTTAAAACACTTATTTATATGCATATACATAATACATATACATCTACACAATAAGAAATAATGACACGTATTTACAAAACAATATAAATATAAATAAGTACAAAATGAGCGATAAAAAAATTTATTTTAACACACACGAAATATTTTACCATCGAGTTAAACAGAATGTTCCGTCTTATTTAATAATACAATCAAATAAAGATAATCAAAATTTTTGCTGGTGTGAATTTGCATTAGTGTGGTATTTAAATTAAATATAATTATAGACGTTATAAATATGGAAATAACGGTTTTGTAAGTTGAAAAGATCCCGTTTCAACTCAATGTTCGTGTTGAAATAATTTTATTTTTTAAACATATACCCTATTTGTTTGTGTTTTGGCCTATTTATTCCTTATATTATGTATATATGTTTCTTTAATTGAATAAGAAATATATACAAAACAAAATACTCACTGTCTGGTGGTTGATAAGAATACTCGGTTTTCGATTGGGCTACACTCGGATCAATTTCTTGATTCTTTAAATTCTCTAAGAAGCTTATGTAATATGAGTCACTTTCGATGGTACCACATTTGACATCTTTTTTTTTGCCTATTCGTTTCTTTGGTAATCTTTGAAAGGGTGCAAATTCCACTACTGCAGGATATTCTACCCCTTTAGAATCTAAGAAAACATAGTTGTCAAATTTCTCCCGAAACATGAAGATGTCTTGTTGCTCCACGAAATTAATATAAGCACGAGAAAATGAGAACTGGCCAAGGGACATGTCTGCCTTCACAAAGTACAAATAATCGTGTACCGGTAGTGGAGAGACTTGCTCTAAAAATTGATCTTGCGTCATTGTTGGAGGCAGTCTTCTGATCACCACCTAATCCAGTCAACAATATAATATATGATAATTACATATAGTAATAGTCAACAATATATTACAATTTTTTAAAATTGCAGAAAATTACAGAAAATTCCAGTTGATCATTGTTTTGTTGGAAAAACTGGAGTTTTCGACCTAAACTGGAGAAATGGCAACCTAAATTTAGAAAGGGTGTACCCTTTTTAAATTTTAGTAAGTAGAAACAAATTATGAAAATCATTTTTACAATTAAACATTAAGCTTATCCCATTCAACATTATTTGTAAAAATTTTGCTGAAGATCTTTAAAGGCTGGCTAGTATAAGTATTTTAATAAGTTTTGTGTGAAAATATAAATTTTTGCTCCCTCTGCCTGAAATCCTGGGTATACCCATTTCGTTTAAATCCAGCCGGTTTTTCCCTTGTCATTATTTAGCATAACCTATGTAATGTTTCGTACTGTTGTCTCAAAACATCGGAGAAGCCAATAAAAGATTGCCTATTGTGGAGTAAAAAGTTCGTATCTGTTATGTTGATTCAGACAAACCTTTGTTATGGGACGACATTTTTCTTTTTTGTTATCTTTGGCTTTTCCAACATCCGTCGAATTGGTCTGCGTGTCATTCTGCACGGAACAGCTGTCGTTCTGTGCAGTACTCTCGGATTGTTGTGCTTCCTCGGTCATTCTGACTCACAACACACGTTTGCGATCACTTTCCAAGATTCAAGGAACTTTCGTTTGCCGTACGATTCGTACCGGTCCAAAATATAATCGTATAATTTTGCCCTCTCTAAAATCAAAAGAAAGGGTCCTCTCTGGTTTACGCGATTATCACGAACGTGGACATCTTGGCTTGAATCGGCTCGATCCTGCACAAAAGAAAAGACTGATAACAGTAGGTCTGTTCTTAAAGCTGGTAACACAATGGGCACAGACAATGGGTGCGTTCAGCAGAACGTTTGTTTTGCAACTGTTGTAAGTTTCCTTCGCGCTAATTGGATCATACTTTTAGATCTAGAAGAATGGTCCTATCTCAGCAGACAATCATAAAACGGTTGCAAAACTGTTGAGTCTGCTGAACGCAGCTAATAGGCACAGGCAACAGGGAATAACGAGTCATCCAATCAGAGCTCTGAGATATAATATCGAACTTATAGTCGTCCTCCCAGAGCTCTGATTGGACGGCTCGTTATTACCTGTGTCTATTGCTGGATTCACACTGCATTCGATTTTCGTCGTACGACG